TCATTTTGTGTATCAGGAGTTAAAAAGGAAACTGCTGCTTCTTTCTACTCTTGCTGACTCTTCACTTCTGACAGCAAACATGTGTGGTCCCCCCCGCCCCCCACACACACCAACCAGTTCGGCAGCTGTCTGTGACACGGGCTGGGTGAACTACATTCTGTTTCAATTCTGACACCAACTGCCTGGAGCTACTACAGATCCCACAGGTGAAGGGCTCAGTCTGGTAAGGCTGCCCCCACTTTAGCTTAAGTCTCAAGTCCAGGGTGTGTCTACATGGGCTTTGGCCCCACCACCGGTTAAGTCAAGGTTACGACAACCCCCGCCTCAGGTTTGGTTAATTTCCTAGAGCTGGTCACAGAACTTCAGTAAACAGTGCACTTACTAGACCACTGGTTTATTGGAAAAGATACAGCTCGGGAACAACCAGAAGGAGGAGATGCAGAGAGCAAGGTCTTAGGGGAGGGGCCTGGAGCTCCATGCCCTCTCCAGGTGCAGCCCCTCCGTGTGCTCAGCAACCCGGAAGCTCTCAGGGATGTTGATGGAGGCTTCATTTTTTGGCACAACTCATTAAATCATTGGCCGCTCCATTGGTGACTCACTCAGCCTCCTGGCCCCTTCCCTTTCGGTCCAAGGAGGGGGACTGAAAGCTCTAACCCACTTAATCACATGGTTGCCCATCTCCCCCCACCCCTGCAAGGAGTCCCCATCCTGAGGCTCTCCAGGTGTCCCCAGCAGACAGTCATCTCCTGGCAGGCAAAGACACTTTTCACTGCAGACAGTCCTAGGGTTTTTAGAATTGGGTGACAGGAAACCAGGGCAGAAACCAAATATATATTTTTTATTATTTCACAGTAGTTCAAAAAAAAATTTTTTTTTTAAGCAGGCTCCACAGGGGCGCCTGGATGGCTCAGTCGTTAAGCGTCTGCCTTCAGCTCAGGTCATGATCCGAGGGTCCTGGGATCGAGCCCCGCGTTGGGCTCTCAGCTCAGCTCGAAGCCTTCTTCTCCCTCTCCCACTCCCCCTGCTTGTGTTCCCTCTCTCGCTGTGTCTCTCTCTGTCAAATAAATAAATAAAATCTTAAGAAAAAAAAAAGAACAAAGGAAACTAATTATATTGAAACACTTGCCCAAAAAATGAAATTGTAATAATTCCTCTGTAAAAACTTTTATTAAAAAGTGATACCATTGGAGAATTAAAAAAAAAAAAAAAAGAACAGGACTGGAAATGTATATTTTCTTCCTTATGTTTTCTTTTTTAAAAAATATTTATTTGAGAGAGAGACAGAGAGAGCACAAGTGTTGGGGGGAAGGGGCAGAGGGAGAGGGAGACACAGCGTCTGTGCTGACCAGGGAGCCTGATACGGGGCTCCATCCCAGGACCGGGAGATCATGACCTGAGCCAAAGTCAGACACTTAACCAACTGAGCCACCGAGGTGCCCCCGCTTATGATTTTTTTTTTCAAAATATTTATCTATTTATTTGAGAGAAAGAGAGAGAGACAGAGAGACAAAGAGAGTACAAGCAGGGGGAGAGGGCGAGGGAGAAGCAGACTCCTGGCTGAGCTGGGAGCCAGACATGGGGCTTGATCCCAGGACCTGTAGATCATGACCTGTGCTGAAGGCAGACACTTAACAATCTGAGCCACCCAGGTGCCCATGATCTTTTTTTTAAAGGTTTTATTTATTCATTTGACCCAGAGAGAGAAAGAGAGAGTGAGAGAGAGAGCACAAGCAGGGAGACCTGCAGGCAGAGGAGGGAGAGCTCTCCGCTGAGCAGGGAGCCTGATGTAGGATTCAATCCCATGACCTGAGCTGAAGGCAGACACTTAACTGACTGAGCCACCCAGGCGCTCCCATGACTTTCTTAATTTTTATTTTATTTTTTAAAAAATATTTTATTTATTTATTTGACAGAGAGAGATCACAAGTAGGCAGAGATACAAGCAGAGAGAGGGGAAGCAGGCTCCCTGCTGAGCAAAGAGCCAGATTCGGGGCTCGATCCCAGGACCCTGGGATCATGACCTGAGCCGAAGGCAGAGACTTAACCCACTAAGCCATCCAGGCACTCGTCCTGTGACTTTCTTAATAACATTTTCTTTTCTCTAGTTTACCTCATTGTAAGACTACAGTATATAATACATATGCAAAATACATGTTAATTGATTGTTCCTGTTATTGGTAAGGTTTCTGGTCAACAGCAGGCTGTTAGTAGTCAAGTTTTTGGGGAACCAAAAGTTATATGTGGATTTTCAACTTCGCGGGGAGTAGCACCCCCAACCCACTTGTTGTTCAAGGGTCTACCGTATTTTTACTTATCTTGGGTATAAACGCAGGAGTGGGATTTTGGATCACCCAGTAAGTGTACAGTTCATTGCTTAAGAAACTGACCAGCTGCCTTCTAGAGTGGCTAAGCCACTTCCTGCTGGAGTCTTCCCTCCAGCAACGGATGAGGAGGGTTCCAGTTGCTCCAAATCCTTGTCATCAATTGTCATTATTGTCTTCAGTTCTTGTCTGTTTCTTGTTTGTTTATTTGAACCATCCTAGCAGGTGTGAAGGGATGGGTCCGGGTGTTAATTTGTATTTCCCTAAGGAGTAATGGTGTTTCCTTTGCTTATTTGCCATCTGTATATCTTCTTTGGCGAACTGTCCAGACTTTTGATCATTTTTAAATTGAATTCCTTGTCTTCTTTTTATTGAGTTTGGAGTCTTCATTATATAGTCTGGGTACAGGTCCTTTGTCATATATTTTCTCCTAGTATGTAACTTGTCTTTTTATGCTTTCGACTGTGTCTTCTGCAAAGCAGAAGTTTTTAGAGTTTTTAAGAAGTTTTTTGATGTTTGATTTTTATTTTTTTAAAAGATTTTAACTATTTATTTATTTATTTGACAGAGAGAGAGTGAGATCACAAGTAGGCAGAGAGGCAGGCAGAGACAGAGAGGGAAGCAGGCTCCCTGCTGAGCAGAGAGCCTGATGCGGGGCTTGATCCCAGGACCCTGAGATCATGACCTGAGCTGAGGGCAGAGGCTTAACCCCCTGAGCCACCCAGGCACCCCAGATGTTTGATTTTTAAAGGAAGTTTGAATTTTTGGCTGTTTAAAAGTTCTGATTTCTGGGGCCCCTAGGTGGTCCAGTCGGTTAAGCCTCCGACTCTTTGATCTCAGCTCAGGGCTTGATCTTGGGGTCGTGAATTCAAGCCTAGGGTTGGGCTCCACACTGGGCGTGGAGCCTACTTAAAAAATAATAATTAAAAAATAATAAAATTTGTGATTTATTTCCTAAAATTGGACTACCCGTTTGCCCAGGACCCCCAGCACCACCCTGCCTTTGGTGTCAGATACCTGGGCCCTGGGAACATTTGCTTTAATGGTAGGGATGTGCTCAAATGGGGCTTGAGCAGGTAGAAGGCGGCAGCTGACCAGTTTGAATTCTGACCCGTGTTTACACTGGTCACCTGGATACCCCGAAGGAGGTGGTGCTTGTCCCCATTTTGTGGATGAGGAAACTGAAATCCAGCCATTTCTTCCCAGGTCATACCTCTGGGAGTTGGCAGAGCCAGCATCTCCCTGCCTCATCCTGAGAATCTCTGCCTTGCAGTGCCCCAGGCTGGGTCCCATTTCCTCCCCTCTGTAGCTGTGTCTCTACTGTCACAGTCTGTATCCTCACTCTAGCCACACCAGCTTCCTTGCTAGTCCTCACACAAAAGCCAAATCCTGCCCCAGGGCTTTTGCACTTGCTATCCCCCCCCTACCCCCACCCCTGGAGTGTTTTCTCCTACCTCCTGACCAGTGGCCTGCTCCTTCTTATCTTTCAGGCCCTGCTCACATGTCTCCTCCTCAAAGAGGCCTGGCTCAACTAGCAGCTAAAATCACCTCTCCAGTAACTTTCAGTCACCCACCTGGTTTCTAATTCTGTTCATGGCACAGTCCGGTTCATACATTCATTCGTTACATTTTATGGTTTATTAGGTAAATATGTATGGGGTGTCTACTGTGTGCCAGGCCATCTTCCTGGCTCAAGAGATATAGCAGTGAACAAAGCACAAAAATCCTTCCTCTCCAAGTCTTAGTTCTAGAAAGGAAGGCAAATAGTAAAGAAATCAAATATAGAGTATGTCAGGTAAGTAGTATTTCTTTTTTTTAAGGAAGGGAGATATAAAAATATTGGGGCAGAGATTCAGATCTTAAATGTGTTGGTCAAGTGAGACCTCCTGAGAAGACAACGTTTAAGCTGAGGCCCGAAGGAGGTAAAGGAGGAGCCACTGGAGATCTGGGCAGGGGAAGCAGCCTGTGCAAAGGCCCTGAGGCTGGAATGTATCTGGAATGTTTAGGAAACAACAAGGAGGCCATTGTGGCTGGAGTGGAGTGAGTGAGGGGTGGACTGGGAGGTCATCGGGCAGGGCCCTGTGGGCCACAGGGGGGACTTGGGCTTTTGCTCTAGGGTGAGCTGGGAGCCATAGAAGGATCTGAACAGAAGAAGGATGGGACCTGACACAAGTGTTCAAAGGCTCCCTCTGGCCACAGTGGAGGGGAACAGACTGAGGAGCAAAGACAGGAGCCAGGGACCAGGGCAGACACAAATGTACTGGTCCAGATCCAGGCAAGCACTGAGGCAGGGCTGACCCAAGAGGGGGTGCGAAGTGGACAGATTCTGAATAGACTTGGGCATCGAGGAAAGGGTAGAGCCAAGAAGGCCCCGACACTTTGGGGGTGTGCACTGCCGCCAGGCTAACCTGTTTATAGTCCAGCCTCCCCATGACATGTCCTTGAGGGACAGAGGATGGTCTGTCTCAGTCACTGCTGGGTCCCCAGCACCTCTACAGAGCCTGGCTCTCAGAGGCGCTCAGTAGTTTGAGCTCCGCAACTCCCCATCTCTTTTGGGGTATCTGTCTCTCTTTAATGTCTCCTATCTGCCCTCCCACCTCAACCAGGAATTTCCTTGTACATTCCTTTCCAATGTCATCTCAGCTTCGCTGACCCGTCTTCTTGCCCATCCCCTTACAGCTTTGAGGCAGAGAATGGGCCCTCGCCATCTCCCGGCCGCAGCCCCCTGGACTCGCAGGCGAGCCCGGGCCTCGTGCTGCATGCTGGGGCCGCCACCAGCCAGCGCCGGGAGTCCTTCCTGTACCGCTCAGACAGCGACTACGACATGTCCCCCAAAACTATGTCCCGGAACTCGTCGGTCACCAGCGAGGCGTGAGCACCCCCTTGTCACCCTCCAGGCCTGCTCCCACATGAGCTGCCCTTGCCAGCAGGGAGTGGGGACCCTGCCCAAGCCCTGGGCCACCTCTCCCTTCCAGTGAAAAGTAAACAGCCCCCTTGTCCATAGCAAGGGCTCAGTCCCGCTTACCCACTGGCAGCTGGCCCCCCCTCAGCCCTGTCCCTCCAACAAGGAGAGAACTCCACGTGAGCCCCTCCCTGCTGCCACTTCTTCCTACAGACTGTCCACCTTGGCTGAGCCCACTTTTCCTTCTCCCCCACCCCAGGGCTCCCTAAGCCAGCCCCCCTTATCACAACCACCTGTTGAGGTGTGAGCACCCCCAGACCTGCTCAGCCCCCTCCCCTCTCACTGGATCCTCCAGTCCTGGCCCTACCCATCCAGGTACCCGCCTCAGCACCCCCATCTCCTTCCTGCTCCCCACCCCCTCCTGCCCACTGCTCTTACCAAGCCCAGCCCCGGCGGGGTATTTATGGCTGTCCCCTTTGTCTCTGCACACCCCATCCCTGCCCACCCACGTGAGCTCCTCTCTCTGACCACCACTTCCTTCAGGACCAGCCCCTGCAGGGTGTCTACCCTTGGGAGGTGTAAGTGCCTTCTCCCCTGACCTGTCCGAGCTTCCCCTCCCAGCCCACCAACCTCCCCAGGCCCAACCCACTCTAGCGAGTTGCTTCTCTGGCACCCTAGTCCTTCTCCACCCAGGCCCATAGGTGTCCCGATGCAAGGACTCCTGACCTGCCCCTGTCCTTGGTTGCAGGCATGCTGAGGACCTCATTGTGACACCTTTTGCCCAGGTAAGACCCCTTTCCTAAGGAGGGAAGGGGTTCCAACCCTCCCCCACAGTTGGGGACGGTGCCTAGCCCCAGCCGCCTCTCCACGTGGCTCCCTCTTTTCACTGCGGCTCCCTATCCCAGGTGCTGGCCAGTCTCCGGAGTGTTCGCAGCAACTTCTCACTCCTGACCAATGTACCCATTCCCAGCAACAAGTAAGTCAGGGCTGGTCCCCAACGGTCCTGATTGCAAGGCTAACTAAGCACACCTGGGTTCAACTCTTAGCTCTGCTGTGTGACCTCAGGCAGGAACTTGATCTCTCTGAGCCTCTGTTCAGGCAACAGCTCCCCCTGAGCCAGTAAACCATTGCAATTTGAATGCCTAAGACAGAAACTTAAAACTAAAGACCAAGGGGTCCAGACACTTTGGTGATGAGGCCAAGGGTAGCCAGTTACCCCAGGCTTGGGGCCACTGCACGCCCCGATGCCAACTTCTTGGGCAAATAGCATCTTGTGGTACCTTTGCTCCCCCTCCATAAAATGGGAATTTAATAGCGCCTCCATTAGATGTGGCTGTGAGGAGTCTGGAAGATGATACACAGGAAAGTGTGAGAACATTGTTCAGCACTAAAAAGCGCGTAGTTATTATGTGGGGGCAGGGGTGTGGCCGAGAACTGCTGGTCCCTCCAAGAGTTAGGGGAAAGATGCTCAAGGAAGTAGGAACTTTGGAGACAAAGGACCTGTCCCTACCTCTGACCAGCCCTGTCACTCCTTTGAGCCCGTTTCCTCATCTGTAAAATGGGTCCTTATGGGGCTCTGTGAGAGGCTGCAGGCTGAGTACATGGGACACAGTGAGCGCTCAGAAAAAGGAAAACTGGCATTATTCATGGAGGGGGGAAGCAGGAATCCGGACTCACAGGCTGATGCTGGAGGTCCATTTCTTTGCAGACGGTCCCCATTGGGCGGCCCAACCCCCGTCTGCAAGGCCACGCTATCAGGTAACAAAGCCCAGGGGGTGGGAAAGGGGCCCTCTTGCTGCTGGGGTGGGGGTCCTCTCACTCGGGGTGGCTGTCTTAACTGTCCTTTCCCAGCACCCCTCTCACCTGGTAGACCCCCATCATCACGGGCTGGGGCCTCTGGGTCACCACCTGTGCTGCCCCTTCTCCAGAAGAGACATGTCAGCAACTGGCCCGGGAGACACTGGAGGAGCTGGACTGGTGTCTCGAACAGCTGGAGACCATGCAGACATACCGCTCCGTGAGCGAGATGGCTTCTCACAAGGTGAGCGGGCCTGGAGCCAGCAGGGCGGGAGCAGCCCCTGGGCGGGGCCTGGGGGGGGTGGGATAGGGGCCACCCGCTGGGTGGGACCTATAGGCGGGGATTCCTTGGGGGCGGGGCTGGTTTCTGGATAGGGCCAATGAGGTGGGACCATTCCCTGGGCCTGTGGGGTGGGGCTGACTGCTGGGTGAGGCATGGGGCGGGGCTAACTATGGGGCGGTCAATCAGTACATGGGGCCTATGGGGTGGGAGTCCATCCTTAGGCGGGGCTGACCCCCTAGTCTGCCTGTTCCCGTGGGTGCTGACTTCTCCCAGGGGTGGGGGAGCCTGGTGTGTGTGTGGATGGGTATGGGTGTCTTTACACCTGCATGTAGACAACCGTCTCTCTTAAGCGGGGTTCTTATGCTAGAGTCTACAAGTGTGTATGTGCCCGTGGGTCTGTGTGGCTGTCAGTTTGCAGGCTACACATTCGCAGCACAAGGTGGGGTGGGAGGGGATGTTTTAAGAGGGCACATCAGGAGCGGTATGCAGATGTGTACCTACGAAGGATATATGGGTGTGCACAGACAATTATACTGGGTTGCGTGTGGGCCTGTGCCAGAGGGGTATGTTTACAAGTGTGAGTTGGCCTAGGAATGAATCTGAGTGTGTATCTCCATGTGTTTGTGACTCTGTGCGCGCGCATGCAGGGCTACAGGGGAGGGTGCAAGGCTCCCATGCACAGCTGTGCAGATTGTAGACTGCACAACTCCAGAGGACACCATTCAGAAAGCAGGCAATATGAATGATGTTTCTGTTGTGCAGCATGGTGGTTGCCCTCGTGGGAGGAAGAAGACTATCAGGAAATGAGTATGCAGGTGGAGGTGTCTGTGTTGGGGGTGGGTGCCTACACCTGTGGGTGGAGGTTTGTCTGGGAACATTCAAGTCTGAGGTTGATTGTGTCTCTGAGGGTGTACTGAGCATCTGAGAGTGTGACTGTCTCTAAATGTAGGTCTTCGGTTGTGTTTCTGCAGTGGTGTGTCTGTGTGTTTGTGGGTGTGAGTGTGAGCATTCCCTCGTGGATTTCTCAAGGTCTGTCTGGTACCCAGGGCCCCATGGGTTTTTGTGTCTGTTTGAGAAAGTGTGTCTGTGGCTATGCTGAGTGTTTGTTAAGTGTGCCAGTATATCTGGGTGTTTGTCCCTAGGTGTGTGTCTCCACATCTGGGTGTGACTCTGTGTTCCTGGAAGTGCTGCATCTGAAGGTGTCTACCTCCTGTGTGTCCAGCCGTCTACCTGTAAATGTGTTGGACATCAGAGTTGTGACTGGGTGGTATGTGCTTGCATATGGGTTGGTGTGGAAGGTGTGTCTCAGAGTGTTTGTGTGTCTGTGAATGTGTAGAGCACCTGGGTGTGTGTCTTTGTCTCTGGATGTGTCCATGGAGGGGACATGTCCTCTCCAGGGTGTGTGTGCCTCCCTGCCGTCCCTGGCAGCCCCACCTGGATCCTGGCTTAGGCCCGTGGGCTCCGATGCCCCTTTAACGCCCCCCCCACCCCCGGCACCACCTGACGTTGCATGCAGCCTGCCAGTGCTGCAGTGAGCACGCACACGCACACACACAGGCGCACACACGGAGCCCAGAGCCTCCAAAGCCACCTCCCGGGACCCTCGCCCTGCCCCCTCATGGGCAGGGGTCCCAGGCCGCCTCCAGCCGCTGCCTTGGGGGGGCCCTTCAGGGCCAGGGGCTGGCAGACCATGTAACCAGGGCTGCTGTCGGGAGCGCGGAGGGGAGGGGAGCCCCCAGCCCTGCTGGGCCGGCCCAGGCCCCTCCGCGGCTCCCCCTTGCACTGCCCACCTGCCCAGAATCCCCCCACCCCCCCACAGTGGCTGTTAACCCCAGGACTCCCTAAGCCCAGCCTCTCTGTGCGGCAGCCCCGAGCGGGGCTAAGATTCCAAGATGCCCTTGGTGGATTTCTTCTGTGAGACCTGCTCCAAGCCGTGGCTGGTGGGCTGGTGGGACCAGGTAGGGGAACTCGGAGTGGAGGGTGGGCAGGAGACTCAGCCCTGGCCCTCCCACCTTGGATTCTACAGCCCCTGGTCTGGGCTGGTGTGTGCCTCTGTGCACGTGTGTGGCCTGAACATGAAACCTTGTGACTGTCTGTCTCTGTGTGTGGCCCAGGACTGGGCGGGGAGAGTGGGTGGCTGGGGATGTGGGTCTCTTGCTGGATGTGACTGTCAGCACTCTCCTGTGTGTGTGTCTGCAGTGGCGTGGGGCTGTCTGACCATATGCTTGTTTGCCTGGGTCATGATGGGGCCCTCTCTGAGATCATATGGCTGTTTGTGGTGGTGTGTGTTGGGATGTGTTTGGGAGCCCAGACCTGTGTGATTTTTCTGGGGCATGTGACCCCAAGTATCAGGGACTGCCTTATTGTGTATGCCCCTCGATTCGTGTGGCTGTGGCTGTGTAGAACTGTGTAAGATGGTAGTCTGTGACTCTGTGTGTGGTTGTGTGACTTTGTGGGTCCATCTTGTGTGTGTATGTGTATCTTTCTGTGCAACTGGGGTCTCTGGCAGCACTGGGAGGAGTAAGCGCCCCATTCTGGTGTGGGCTATGTGAGCTCACCCTTCCTGCCAAGCATCCCTCCTGCCTCTCTGGATGGAGTCTGCTTCTGGTTTGGGGGTGCTTTGGCGGAGCTTGGGGGCGGGGAACCAATGCCCTTTCTCCTCAATGCACAATGTCATAGCAGACGCTTGTGTGAAGTGGCATGGGGGGACCAGGAGGGACTGCCAGGCCTGGTTCTGTGTATACTCCGTTCATCCACGCATGTGCCCACCCCTCTGAGGTTGGGGGAGAGGGGCTGTGATGGGAACCCCCCTCCCCTGGGTGACCGAACAGGGTTTCCTCAGCTCAGTATTCTCCCCTGCCCTGCCAAACCTTCTCTTCACCCAGAACTTGCATTCTCTCCTGTGAAGGAGAGATTGTATTCTCTCCTTCCAAGCTGGGTTTGGAGCTGGGGGCCAGGACGCCTTGGGAGTGGGGCCCATATCCTTGGAAGACTTGGGCCAGGGGGGCTCTGGGAAGCCAGGGGTTAAGGGTCCTGAGGCCTGCCCCCCTTTCCCCCAGCTCTGCAGCTGGTTGGAGGGGGAGTTGCTAAGGAGACTCCCATCACCATGGCGACGGGATTCTCCTGACACCCCATTGGCTCACTGTTAGGCAGTAGCCCCTCCCTTCCACAGGTGCCCCTCTGGCTCCTCCTTTTGGGCTGGAGGAGGAGGAAGTCTGGGGAGGGGTGCCCCCCTTCCTCAGGAAGGGAGGGGCATGCTGAGTCCCATCTTCCCAGCCTGAGTCCCCAGCCAGACCCGGAGGAGAGGAAGGGCTGACTCCCCTCCCCTCCAGCAGCTTGCTGAGGGCTCTCTTGGCTGAGCAAAGAAGTAGGAGGGGCTCATGGGATCTTCAGAAGTTTCTTGGGAGGGGCTGACCTCCCCCACCCTCTGATTCCCTGTCTCCCCATCATTCCTTCCTTCTTGCCTCCTTCACCTTAGTTCAAGAGGATGTTAAACCGTGAACTCACACACCTGTCAGAGATGAGCAGGTCAGGAAACCAGGTCTCTGAGTACATCTCCACCACATTCCTGGGTGAGTGAAGGGTAGCACTTTGTAGGGACTCTGCACGCCTGGACTGGAGGGGGCTGCCCCAGACCACAGGTCTAATTGGTGACATTTGCCCCAGGGACCCTGGCTCCTGACTCCCCAAAGATCAGGGTTACCACTCTCAAGAGTTCCCATACTCTCGATGCCCCCAAACGCAGAGGGATGTCGACTTTCTAGAACCTCCACATTAAAAAATTTCTCCAAGCAGAAAAGACCCTCCAAACTCAGTGGAACCACAGTGGAACTCTCAAACTAAAGACCCCAAGAATCCCACAAACTCAAATAGGATTCTTTTTTTTTTTTTAAGATTTTATTTATTTGACAGAGAGAGATCACAAGGAGGCAGAGAGGCAGGCAGAGAGAGAGAGAGAGAGAGAGAGAGAGAGAGGGAAGCAGGCTCCCTGCTGAGCAGAGAGCCCAATGTGGGGCTCGATCCCAGGACTCTGAGATCATGACTTGAGCCGAAGGCAGCGGCTTAACCCACTGAGCCACCCAGGCGCGCCTCAAATAGAATTCTTAAACTTCAAATGCCGCCAGGCTGAAAGGCCTCCCCGAATTCAGTAGCATGTCCCACTTCGGATCCCCCCCCAACACACACACACACACACACACACACACACACACACACACACACAAGAATTCAAGAGATCCTGCAAACCTAAAAGAGATGCTCACCTTCAGTAGAGTTCCCAAACTTAAGGGAGCTGGTGTCCTTAAGAGTCCAGAAGAGAACCCCCAAACTTTCAAAAACACTCCAAGCTGAAAAATCTCCCAAATTCAGGAGAATCGCCCAACTTAATATGACCCTCAAATTCAGTAGACTCCTGCGGACTTTCCATACCCGATACGGTGATACAGAATACCTCGAATTCATTAGAACCCTCAAGCCCATGGGGACCTCCAGTTCGTCCTAATCGCTGAACCCAAGAGCCCAAGCTGAGGCTGTCCCCCACAATCTCAGGATAATTTCATCCTCTCAATTTATCGCCAAAGTTTTCCAAATTCTGGAGAACCATCCTGCACCGAGCTCAAGAGAAGTGTTCGGAGTTTCAAAGGCTCCCGCCAATGGGGGTGTGGCCATGCCGAGTTCTGACATCCAGCCAATGGGAGCACGGCATGCAAATAAGCCCTATTAGGCCCCGTTATTGAGTGGCAGGGCCCCAGGTCACAATGGGTGGCCCCGGCTTGGCTCTGGAAGCCGTTGAAAGCTCAGGAAGAGGGCTCCTGGGGCTGGCCCCCAGGTGGCTGGTGTCAAAGGGGTGGGCTGGTGGGAGGGTTCATGGAGCCAGAGGCTACCCTTCCCTCCCGCCTCACCCTGCTCTCCACTCCCACCAGTACTCTTAGTCACCACGGAGGTGTCCCCCCAGTCCGAGAAGTTTCCCTGCCTATACAGGGCAGGCAGCGACTCTCTCTAGCACCCCCACCCCGCTTCCTGACTTCCCATGCCACCCCCCTGCCAAACCTGGCAATCAGATTGGAGCCACCCCATAGCTCCGGGCCAGCCTCAGGGTCCCCACTCCAGCCCACTACATCCCAGAAGAATTCCTACTTTCCTTCTGGTTTCCAGCCTATAAGTAACCAACAGCATGACACCCTGAAGGGGTCTGCCCTCCCGAGTGAGCCTTCCCAGGGCGCAGTGGGGAGCAGGGGAGGGGAACTGAGGGCCAAATGAGGGCATCTCTGTGGGTTGCTCATGCTTGTCTGGCCTCTGTCTTCTGTAGACAAGCAGAATGAAGTGGAGATCTCATCTCCCACAATGAAGGATCGAGAAAAACAGCCAGCACCACGGCAGAGACCCTCCCAGCAGCCCCCGCCCCCCGGGCCACAGTTCCAGCCCATGTCTCAGATCACAGGGGTGAAGAAGTTGAGACACAGCAGCAGCCTGAATGATTCCAGCATCCCCCGCTTTGGGGTAAAGACCGACCAAGAGGAGCTCCTGGCCCAAGTGAGTGGCGATTCCGCAGGGGCTGGACCAGAGAGGGACAGGTGTCTGCTGGGGCCCAGCCAAGGACTGGGCATTGGGCCAGTCTGAAATGAGGATTCAGGTATACTGGGGTTATGAGACTCTCAGGAGAGAGGGAGTAAAGGAATCAGGATAGGACAGAGCTGAGTCGGGAGGTGGAGTGAGCTCGAGCGTGGCCTCTCAGCCCAACCCCTCGAAGAACTCCGGAGTGTGAACAACACCACCGAGTTGAGCCCATGTTGAGGCAAGAGCACTGAACTCTGTACCCCTGTGTCAGTTATTGGCTGTGGGCTGCCCCCAGAGTGGACAGCGTTACCTCCTCTGTGTAGCTCCCGTAGGGGCAAGAAGAACAGTTTTCTGGATAACAGAGCCGTGTGAGTCTTGGTAGGCCACAGTCCCAGTGGGTGGGGGATGGGTGCACCCGTCAGTGAAGGGGGTCTGGCCAGAACCCCCATAGCACCCACTACTGGCCAGACCTGGGTTCAGCCACGGGGCTCCCACATGGGTTTGTACAATATTTATTGAGCACCTACTGTGTGCTGGCACTGTTCAGGGTTCTGGGGAGACATGGAAAACTAGCCCAAGTTCCCTTCCCCCTGGCACTGATGAGCAGTTTAGCTCAGAAGTAAAACTGCGCTCTGGGGTCAGCCTAGCTGCGATCACATTTCGACTTGGCCCCTCGTGAGATACAAGGTCTTGGGGAAGTCTCATCACTCCTCCGGGCTTTGGTTCTCAAACCAACCAAACGAGATCAAGCACTCCGAGTCATGCTGGGCAGATAATAATCAGGGCACAGTGGCTGTGGTTATGTTGTTATCTTAGGGCCCCTTGGGTAAGTTCCCAGCCGCTGAGCACGCCCCCCGCTGGAAGCGCGATAAGGGTGCTGCCTTCAGACCAGAGCTCTGGATTGCTAGGGAAGAGTGGAGAGGGGTGAAGGTCAACCACGAAGAACTTCTGACCTAAGTGGGTAGGGCTTGGCCCTGGGTCTTGAGGGCTCCTGACCTCTGGCCTCCCAACTCTGTCAGGAACTGGAGAACCTGAACAAGTGGGGCCTGAACATCTTTTGCGTGTCAGAATACGCCGGGGGCCGCTCCCTCAGCTGCATCATGTACACGATATTTCAGGTAGGGCGGGCCGAGTGGGGCAGGGTGCGAGGGAGGGGCGCAGCGTGGAGAGCGGAGAGGCCGCGGGACTCACTGCCTCCCACCCCCGTTCCTACCCCAGGAGCGGGACTTGCTAAAGAAGTTTCGCATCCCAGTGGACACCATGGTGACCTACATGCTGACCCTGGAGGACCACTACCACCCCGACGTGGCCTACCACAACAGCCTGCACGCGGCTGACGTGCTGCAGTCCACACACGTGCTGCTGGCCACGCCCGCGCTCGATGTGAGCCCCCCCCCCCGCGCACCCCCAACTCCCCCATCTCTCTCATTGCCCACCTGCCATCTCCCGTTGGTCTCTCTGCCCCTGGGTCTCTAACCTCCGTCCCTCTCTGATCCTGTTCCTCTTTCTGATTCTTATCTCTCTCTCCTGTCCCCCTTCTTTTGTGACACCCCCATCTTTCTCTTATCTCTCAGACCCCCCATCTTTCTCATCCATCTCTCTCTGACCCCCACTCTCTGCTCCTAGGCTGTGTTCACGGACCTGGAGATTCTTGCCGCCCTCTTTGCGGCTGCCATTCACGACGTGGACCACCCTGGGGTCTCCAACCAGTTCCTCATCAACACCAGTGAGTGGCCTCCCCCACGGGGGCGGGGCCTGCCGGGTCGGAGGCGGGGCCTGCCCTATCAGAGGCGGGTCCTGCTGGGTAGGAGAGGGCCCGGGTTGGCTTCTGCGCTCCTCTGACCCCCTGCCTGGGCCTGGGCCGCAGATTCGGAGCTGGCGCTCATGTACAACGACGAGTCGGTCCTGGAGAACCACCACCTGGCCGTGGGCTTCAAGCTGCTGCAGGAAGATAACTGCGATATCTTCCAGAATCTCAGCAAGCGCCAGCGGCAGAGCCTGCGCAAGATGGTCATCGACATGGTGGGCGGGGCCGGGGCGGGGACAGGACAGGACAGGAAAGATCGCCTCTGAGGCTTGGGGAGAGCGGCAGGGTCTGAGTCCAGGACCGGAACCCCCGGGAGCGGCGTCCCTGTGGGGGCTGGGAACAGGTTGTGCCAAGCGCAGGTGGGGTCCAGGCAGCCCGGGGCAGGGCTTCAGCGACCCCTGTGATGCCCCCTTACCCGCAGGTGCTGGCCACGGACATGTCCAAACACATGACCCTCCTGGCTGACCTGAAGACCATGGTGGAGACCAAGAAAGTGACCAGCTCGGGTGTCCTCCTGCTGGACAACTACTCTGACCGCATCCAGGTGCCCCCCCCCCCGCCCGCCCGCCATATATATAGAGAGACTAGAGCTTCTCTAGGCTTCTCTAGACTAGACTTCTCCTCTCCCCTTTGGGTCTGGGTGGCTCCCCTCCCTCAGCCTCTAGCTCCCACGCTGCCCATCTTCCTGTTCCTTTCTTTTCTCTCTCCCTCTCATCTCCATCCCAGTCTCTGTCTCCGGCCATCCCTCATTTCTCCTTCTGTTCCATCAACCCTTTCCTGTCCCCTCTGCCTCCCCCAACACCACCTTCTCTCCTCTCCCCAACCCATCTCTTTCTTTTCTCTCCCTCACTCTTCCTCTCCTCCCCGTTTCCCTTCCCTCTCCATATCCCCACTACCCCTTCTCCTCATTCTCCCCATAAAGGGGGAGGTAAGGAAGCATGAGGTCCCACGCTGGGACAGGGGCACAGCCTCTGAAGGTCCCCCGCCTCGTGCAGGTCCTTCGCAACATGGTGCACTGTGCGGACCTCAGCAACCCCACCAAACCACTGGAGCTGTACCGACAGTGGACGGACCGCATCATGGCCGAGTTCTTCCAGCAGGGAGACCGGGAGCGGGAGCGGGGCATGGAGATCAGCCCTATGTGCGACAAGCACACAGCCTCGGTGGAGAAGTCTCAGGTACAGTGTTGCGGCCCCTGTGGAAGGTAGCAGGGCGGCCCTCCCCATCCCATGCTGGCCTGGAGCTGGGAGACGTCCAGGTGCTCCTGACCTGCCCCTCCACAAAGTCAAGTTTTTCTGGTTTTGGTTTGTTTGTTTTTTCCTTTTCTATCTTGATGGGAAATTTGCAACATTTTCTCTCCTCCAGAACAACCAAACTGAGCCTCTGGACTCAACGCTTGTAGACCTGAGTCAAACAAGTTCTAACTCATTTGTAGCCACCAAATAGCTAATAATAATACTTACCTAGCTCTTAGTTACAGACCTTATGTCCATACAGCCTCTCACTTTCCCAGTAACCACTATCTTGTCCTTGATTTTTGGTGGATTTTTTTTTAAGATTTTATTAATTTTTTTTGACAGAGAGAGATCACAAGTAGGCAGAGAGGCAGGCGGTTGGCTGGCGGGGGGAGGGGGGGGAGCAGGCTCCCTGCTGAGCAGAGAGCCTGATTCAGGACTAGATCCCAGGACCCTGGGATCATGACCTGAGCTGAAGGCAGAGGCTTAAACCCCTGAGCCACCCAGGTGCCCCTGGTAGATTTTTTTTTTTTTTTAAGATTATGTACTTATTTGTTTGAGAAAGCAGGAGTGGTAGGGTGGGGGGAGGGGCAGAGGGGGAGACAGAAGCAGCCTCCCCATGGGCAGGGAGCCAGGGAGCCAGATGCAGAGGCTTGATCCCAGAACCCTGGGATTATGACCTGGACTGAAGGCAGATGCTTTCCCTTGATTTGGGTGGATTTTGAAATGAGATGCAGTGACTCGTCATCGTGTGCTTATTTAACTTAACAAGAGGTACAGAAACACAATCTTGTTTGTAAAGTGTGAACGGGAAAGAGTCTCACCCTCCCCACTTTCAGTCTCCTCCCCGGTGAGACCTATTTTTTTCCCGCTTCACTGTGCATGCCTTTCCAGACCAGAGTTACCCAGCGTTGGCACTGTTGACATTTGGGGCCAGATCATTCTCTGTCACAGGGGCCGCCCTGGGCTTTGGAAGATGTAGAGTGGCATCTCTGGCCTCCACTCTCCCCTTCCAGTGATAACCTATTTCTGGACACTTCCAAATGTCCCCCGAGTGTGTAGATCACCCCATCCTCCAACGCCTGGCAAAACCAGTTTCATACATTTTATTATGTAGTTACGGTTACAGACAACTTAATAGTTCATGGGTTTTGCTTTTTAAAAAAAAATAAGAATTTTATGAATATATATCTGTTTTTATACAGCTTGCCTTTTATCCCAAACAGTGCTTGGAGATCTGTCCAAGTGTTTCCACATACAGTTAGCTTGTCCTTTTTGACTGTTGTATAGTATTCTCAAAGGTATAGAGAGCTAATGGTTTCTGGGGAGACTTGGTTTTTCTCCATTGCTGATCATTTAGGTGTTGATGGGTTACAAATTCACAGTGACTCAAACAAGGTAGATCTTCAGGTTTATTTCCTCTTAAGTAAAAAAGCCTAGAGAAATAATATCACTCCCTTTGAAATGGTCAGGCATCTAAGAGAATTCCCTTCTATCATCCAAAGCCTCGGGCCTCTGTCCCCAGAAATGCCTCTTATGATCACAGATGCTATTGAAGCTCTAGCGATTTTGGCTACATAGCAGGGAAGAAAGGTTTCTGCCAGTTGAGGCAGCACCCCTACACCCTGTTCCCACCCCAGCTCCAATCTTCCGTCCACCTGTGGTCACATTGCCACCCTCTCTCTTTGCAAAGGAGGCTGGGAAATGTAGTTTTCAGCTGTGTGAGGGAAGCATTGCCTCCACCAAGAAAAATCAAGATTCTGTTAATAAGAAGGAGGGAAGAGGGACAGCTAGGTCGCTCAGTCAGTTAGGCGTCTGCCTTCGGCTCAGGTCATGATCCCAGGGTCCTGAGATCAAGTCCCATTTCTGGCTCCTTGATCAGCGGGAGCCTGCTTTTTCCTCTACCTGCTGCTCCCTCTGCTTGTGCTCGCACTCTCTCTGACAAATAAATAAGTAAAATATTTTTTCAAAAGCTTAAAATAAGGAGGAGAGAAGATACTATCAGAGTGGATTAGCCAATCTTCTGCCGTGGAGTTATTTCTAGTTTTTCTTTGTTGCAAAAAAAAAAAAAAATGTTACTAATATCTGAGGTTTACCACAATTTTTTTAAAAGATATTATTTATTTATTTGACAGAGAGAGATCACAAGCAGGCAGAGAGGCGGGCAGAGGAGGAGGGGGAAGCAGGCGCCCCGCTGAGCAGAGAGCCCTACTGTGTGCTCCATCTCAGGACCCTGAGATAACAACCCGGGGCCAAAGGCAGAGGCTTAACCCAATGAGCACCCAGGTGCCCCCAACCACAATCTTTTAAAACTAATTCCCGATCGACAGATCTATGGATATGGACAGGTCTATGGATATATGTTTCAGTATTTGCTGGCATCTCCTATGTAGAGATTTTTTTTTTCTTACCTGTGCAAGAGTTTTTCCAGGGTGGATCCTGAGAAGCAATTTGCAATGTTAACGGCCATCAGCCTCTTTTGAATTTTGCTAGATCCCACAGCGTGGCAGGACAGTCTGCACCAGCGGGCCCCCAGTTTGTGCCTTTCTCCCTTCTCTCCCAGGTGGGTTTCATTGACTATATTGTACACCCGCTGTGGGAGACGTGGGCTGACCTGGTCCACCCAGATGCCCAGGAGATCCTGGACACGTTGGAGGACAATCGGGACTGGTACTACAGCGCCATTCGGCAGAGCCCTTCCCCGCCACCTGACGAGGAGCCCAGAGGGCCAGGCCACCCACCCCCACCGGACAAGTTCCAGTTTGAGCTGACTCTGGAGGAGGAAGAGGAAGAGGAGGTGTCTACCGCCCCAGGTGCATTTGAAGTGCGGGATTTGACCATGGCTCAGGATCCATCCCCGGCTCAGGAACTGTGGGAGGTGGATGGCCATGCCCTGCCCACAGAGGTGAAGGTAGAGGAACCTGGCGTCACACAGCAAGGCAACTCAGCACATAGTGTGGCTACGCGCGAGGACGGGGCCATGTCCCCAGACGCATCCGTGGAGGCTGGGGGCCACAGCAGCCCCCTGGCCCTGTCTACTGAGAGCCCCCCTCTGCCTTCCTTGAGGACCCCGCCCTCTCCAGAGGAAGCCCCGGGCCTCGAGGGCCTCCCCTCCGTGGCGGCCGAGGTGGGGGCCCAAAAAGAGCACCAGGCTGCCAAGAGGGCGTGCGGTGCCTGCACGGGAACATCTGGCGAGGAGCCCACCCCACTCCCAGCTCCTGGTGGGTGGGGGTCAGCTGGAGGTCCTACCTGAGCCCCAGCCCCTCCATCCTGTTGCTCTCCCCGCCTCCCTCCACCACCATCACCCCGCGACCACCTCCTCCACTGCCTCAAAGACTCTTGGGCCTCCTGAGAAAAAAGAAAACAGAAAAGTGGGGTTTTTTCTCTTTTCTTTTTTTCCTCTTTCCCCCCACCCCCACCCACGGGGCCTCTTTTTGGAGGTGGGGGCTGGGGAACAAGGGACGGAGGTCCCGGAAGGGATTTTATTTTTGGAATTTTAATTGTTACATTTTTAGAAAAAGAAAAAAAAAAAAAAACCAGGATAAAACACAGCCACTGTAGACGCTCCTGTTCCGGACTAAACCCCTCGTGTCCCCCCTGCCCGCCTCCCCTCCTGTGCCTCCCCCCAGGTCCCAGGCTCAGTCTTCCGGCCTCCTAAGGCTCCCCACCTGGGCCCAAGCAGGCATCGCACCTCCCTCCCTCCCTCGGGGCTTTTCCTCTGAATTTTGGAGGGTCTCTGGAACCCAACCAGGAATAGCCATTCTGGGCGGGGGCTCTGGGGGGGCTGTCTCCGGGGTGACCCCAGCTCCAGCCCCTGTCTGGCTCACTGCCCACCCCCCCCCAGAAGTCTTCCGCCTCATTTTGCACAAACCTGGCAATACTAACTTCGGGGACAGGGACGGGGACAGGGGAGCTGTGTGCTTTCAGATGTAGCGGAGAGGAGGTGTCAGAGGGACATTCACACCACTAACCCGGGGTCTGAGGTTCGAGGAGGGCCTGATCCCCCCTCCGCTTGCCATCCCCTTGCCCTTACACTTTGGGTTCTGTTTGAATTTTCTCCATTTGGGGGGAGAGGGCTCTGAACCACACCCCTCCTTCCAGCTGCTTCTCCTCTTGTTTCTGCCTTAATGATTCCCGTGGCCCTAGGAGAGGGGTTTGCAGTGGCTCCCACCTGCACCTCGGGTGGGGTGGGGCCAGGCCCAGAGCCCCCATCCTGGGCATCCCCCCCTCATGCCCCGCATCCTCCTGACCCCCTTCATGACCCTTTGCCCTAGGAGGAAGCAATAACAGTGTACACCCACATCCCCTTTCGGGGCAGCCCTTTCCCACCCTGGCACCAACCAAAGTCATTTCTCCTTTGCCCCCATCTGGCCACACCTCCCCCTCACCCCTTAGCTATTCCTGGAGCAATACGACAGACAGATGCAAGGCCATTTTTCTCCAAGCCATGGGGGACTGTTTGGAAGGAAAGACCACCCCCCTTCCCCCTCCTTTATGCCCTTCGCCCCGTTCTGCAGCCGGGCGAGGCGGGGCGCCTCTCTCACTCCTGCACCCCCAATTCTGAGCACACGGTACTGTAGCCCCCAGCTGCCCGAAGCCTTCCATCTGTCTGTCCATCCCGGTGGGGAGTACCACCCACTCCCACCCCCATGATGCTGTACAGGGTTCATTTTTGTAGCGACATTAGTTTCTGTCCCCCACCAGTGACTGGAGTGGGACTTCTTTTTGGTTTTTTTTCTTTCTCTCTCTCTCTCTCCTTTTTTTTTTTTTTTTTTATATATTGTATGGTTGGTTTGTAAATTATTCTACAGAGGCAAAAAGGGAAAATAAACTTGCCCTTCCCCCAGCTGACCCCGGTCAGGGGAAGGAGGGGTGGGGTCTCCCAGAGAGAGGGTCCTCATTCCCACTCTGTATTATACAAACTGTACCACAAACCCCGAAAGCGTGGGTTCCGCGCTGCCACTCGATGGGAAGTCGTGTCATTGTAGGGGGCGAGGGCTGAGCAGAGCCTGCCCCTTCCCCCTTACCCAGGTGTGACTGGTGAGATGGAACCCCACCCCCAATCAGGGCTCCTCTCCCCAGGAGGGGGGGCGCAGGACCCCCCCGAGCTGCTCTTGTGTTGTCCACTTTGACGATCAATCAGTCCGTCCGTTGATCGATAATCAATCCTTGTCTCCAATTAAACCAAGGCTTTCACTGATCTTTCTGACTTATGTGACTTCCTTTCCCACCCTGTTCTTGGCAGGTGCGCCTCTCCTTACACTGTCTGTCTGGGGTGGGGGTAAGGGGAAATGGAATCTCTGTCAATAGAACCCAAGGGAGGGGGGCAGCAAGTGTGGCAGGAGGCAGCCTCGGTCCCCACTCCCACCCCCTCCCCACCCCCGCCGGCGCCTGAGCTGGACGCCTGCTCAACGACTCCAGGTTGTAAAGTGGAAGTTCAGACCAGTCTTTGGAGGCCAGCAGACCCAGGTAAACCCCACTTCTTCTCTACAGCATGTCTGACACAACTCTTGGGTACTTCTGGAACCTCAGAGTAATTCCTGGAAACCTCAAGGGAGCCTGACTAATGAAGCCCCTACCATCTGGCTTCCAGGCCATGATAGAAGGCCTCTAGTCGAATTCTGCTGTGCAGACATTAAACTTGATAAACAGGCACAAGGGCAATTTCTTACCCCTATAAATTCTATGAATTCGCAGGATCCTGACCATTTTGGTATTGCAACCTTCATGTTACATTAAAAAAAAAAAAACCAAAAAACCTGAATATCTTTTTTTTTTTTTCTTTAAAGATTTCGAGTAATCTCCACACCTGATGTGGAGCTCGTACTCACGGCCCTTTGATCAAGGGTAGCATGCTTTATTGACTGAGCCAGACGGATACCCCCAAACCTAAATCATAAAGGCAGGGCTCTGTTGCTTTGAGCCTGTAAGACTTATGGTCTGTATCAGGCGATCTAAATCCTCCAGATTCTCACACGACTGGCTTGGGATTGAAGCTGTTTTGCTAACGTGTTCGGTCGAGGTTGGGGAGTGAGCGACTCTCAGATTATTTTAACCAGTCCACATGTTTGAATACTGTAAATTCCACTCAAGGGATCCCATTTTCCCCACCTTTTATCAGGGCAATTAACAAACCCTTGATTTCACCAATGTTTCTGATACTCATTATGTTAATGAGCGAACCTTCCCAAGTGGATGAAGATAGGGATAACAGAAGTGACTGAGTCGAGCTTTCGGTTTAGAATACCGGCCGTCTCTGGGGTGTAGTTAATTGAGATACACACAGACACACTCAGGGCTTAAGTGGTTCAGCGCAGTGGAATCAACAGATGCATATATTCACACCACGTGTGTTTTGAAACAAAATGAGGGCGGCTTCCTTGGATCTAAGGAAAGGTGACCTGCCTACCCTGCTCTATTCGAGTCTAGTTACCAAGGAGAGGCTGAGATCCCAGCTCCGGCTGTGTGACCCTGGGCGTGATCTCTGCTGTCTCATCTCTAAAATGAGGATAACAAAAGTCCCAGTCAGTCTAGGGCAGGGCTAACCGGTGAAACCTTCTACAATGATGGGAATGTTCTGTCCGTGCTTCTCCAATGTGGGAGTAGCCACTCAGCCCCACGTGGCTGTTAAACACTTGAGATGTGAGTGCCACTAAGGAGCTCGAGTTTTCATTTTCCCTCTTCATTAAGTAGCCACATGCAGCCAACGGCCACCGACTAAGACTATACACAGTTCTGGAACTTGAGAGGGTGAATGTGTAGGCTTAGCGTTACTAAGGTTTGTCTGGTTCACTGCGGTTTGAAGATTGACAGTACGTAGATATCCTGGCCCAGAGAAGTAGGGGAAAGCTTGGAGCCAGAGAGGGGGAAAAAAAAAAAGGCTGGAAAACTAGGTAGAAGTTTCCAGGGAATCTGAACTTTGTGCAAGCAGTAAAAAGGATACACAGACGTTTTCCCAAGGGTGTTTCTAAGGGAGGCAGAGTCGGGGAAAGGGTGTCAGGCTGAGGGTCAGGAGATGACAGCACCAATCCCAGGCTGCACAGGAAGGCCGATGAGACTTCTTGCTCTGGACCTCAGGTTCCCCAAGTGTAGCATGATGTCCCAAATGCCTCCTCTGCTGAGACACTGTGATAATCTGAGAATGCGGGTCAAAGGCCAGAGGTGGGCATGTGACCATCAGCTGGCTCTTTAAAATTCTCGTGATGGGGAGTTCATCTTTCCTCAGGCAAAGGCGACCAAGGGTAGTGGGGCACAGCCGCAAGGCCTTGTAATCCAGATAGGACAGGGAGACCTGGGGAAGGGGTGGAGTTCACGTTAAGTTGACATCAGCCACTTGCAAACAAGCTATGTGGTCTGAGACAAAAGGCTCTGGCTCTTCCAGTCTTTCAAGGGCTGTGCCCTGTGCTAAACTCATTAGATGGGGGGGGGGGGCGAGGGGAGGCGGCGCCTGGGTGGCTCAGAGGTTAGAGCCTCTGCCTTCAGCTCAGGTCATGATCCCAGGGTCCCGGGATCAAGCCCCACATCAGGCTCTCTGCTCATCAGGGAGCCTGCTTCCCTCCCCCCTTCTCTGCCTACTTGTGATCTCTGTCTGTCAAATAAATAAATTTTAAAAAGTCTTTAAACTCATTAGATGGATTATCTTATCGGCTCTCCAGCAGTCCTCGAAATATACACCATTACAGGAAACTGAGGCCTGGAAGTGATCTAACCCTGTCGAGGAAAGGCAGAGACCTCACTTCACCTACTGTCTGTCCCACAACGATAGCTGCTAGATAACTACCTGATACTTTATTATTGCTCCTTTTATTTTTTTAGCCCTACACCCAACACGGGGCTTGAACTCACGACCCCAAGATCAAGTGTCACATGTTATACCAGCGGAGCCGGCCGGGTGCGCCTGTATTCCTATGGATAATATTTCTCCTTCTTTTAAATAAAATTATAGGGCGCCTGGGTGGCTCAGTGGGTTAAGCCGCTGCCTTCGGCTCGGGTCATGATCTCAGGGTCCTGGGATCGAGTCCCCGCATCGGGCTCTCTGCTCAGCGGGGAGCCTGCTTCCCTCTCTCTCTCTCTCTGCCTGCCTCTCTGCCTGCTTGTGATCTCTGTCTGTCAGATAAATAAATAAAATCTTTAAATAAATAAATAAATAAAATTATAATATTTCTCCTTTTTTCAAATAAAATTATAAGTGTAAATTAAAACACTTATTTTTATTTTTTAAGTTTATTTTTAAGTAAGATCTTTGCCCAGTGTGATCTTGATCTCAGGGCCCTGAGATCAAGAGTCTGATGCTCCAATGACTGAGCCAGCCAGGCGCCCCTAGAAGATTATAAATAAATATATAAATATATAAATAATAAATATTATATATAAT